GGGGGGGGGGGGAGGTGAAGGTTACTTCGCGTGGAAAGTTTAACGTTTCTGAACAGGGAAAGGTATAGAATAGTACTTGATATCATATACGTATATAGAAATGAAACGTATATTTTAAAACTATGATTGTTAATAACTTTTTAACGAAGGACGAGCGACGGCTAAAACCTGTAGGAGGTTACTCAGGGTTATGACCTTGACAGCATATGTCAAGGTCAAGATCATCGGAGGGTGGTCCCCTTTTGTAAAGGTTTACCAAAAATTTTATTAATCATCAATTTTGAATTAATTTTCAGTCACAATAAACATTCTTTTCTGAAAAGTTCGGGATTGATGACATACGACAGAACTTGTTTTAAATTCTTGTTGAACTTTCTGTGCTACTTGTATAGGAATACAATAAAATTAAATAATATATTTATTCTTAAAAAACAATGTTTTATGTTTTACAATATTTGGAAATTTTTGTATACACTAATTACTTATTTTATTGTTAGATCGTAACAGTATTTTGATAATTTTATTTGTAGGTAATAAATAGTAAACAATATCCGAAATAATATCTATTTTAGGAGCCTCGTAAGGAAAAGTTAATATATCTGAAAATTAAATATAAAAATCGCCTCTCGAAAATTTCAAATACAAAGAATAAATAGGCTAATGAGAGTAAATATATCTGATTGAATAATATCACTTAAAATAGCAACTATTTAATTGACAATGTTTCGTAAACATGTGTTCCAATTTTTTAACAAAATTGAAGAATCTTAAATTTGGATGAACAAAAGATTCAGGAAACAAATCACATATTTCCGTTTTTCTGTTATTACGGAATTTGCTGGATACGTGAAACATTTTGTGAACTGTAATAATTGGTGGTAAACGCGTCCAAATGCAATCTGAAGCATCTAAAATTGTAGGCGTTGTAGACATACCATAATAATGTCCTGATTTAAATATATTATATTTATAACATTTATAAACGATAATCAGATAGGGACATCTAATATTATATTTAATTTATTATGTTTTTAAATATAATCTATTAATTTATCTAAGGATATTAATTCACGTAATTCATCATAATTTTTATAATATACCTAATATAATTATAGATGTTTAAACTTTGGTAGAAAAGAATGTTTAACCAAATACGTAATTAATGTACATAAGAAATAATATTATAAGTATAATAACTAAATAATCTCGGTATACAGAATGAAAAAAGAGCGCGAAAGAATCGCTCAGGAGGTGGACTCGCAGACACAGACCTCGAGCCCAGGTGGCGTGGACGGTAGGAGCGGAGGTGGATGGGGCGGTAAGTTGTCGGCTCTGTTGCATGTGCACCGGGGTAGTCGGGCCAGTAGCCGCAAGTCCTCTAGGGCCAGCGACGCCAGCGATCTCAGCGAACTCGGTACCGCTTCGGCATGGTTGTTCCCGAATCTTCCTCTGCTGTTGCTCTCCGGCGCCACCGGAACCCACGAGGACCTGCAACCCCCGGCATTGACCGTCTCTCGTCCCTCACCAACCGCTGATCAACCCTCCGCAGCCTCCAGCTCTGGCTCGGATTCTCATGTTACTGTGAGGTTGGTTTAATGTCGCACAAGATAATTCTTGAAATCATTCAAGAATAACTCCCCCCCCCCCTCTCTCTCTCTCTCTCTCTCTCTCTC